AAATATAAAACCTTTTTCAGTCATGTAAAAAGTTTTCATTAAGTTTAATAAAGATAAGAGCAAGGTCTCACCTTAAAAAAAAAAAAAAAAAAAAAAAAAAAAAAAGATTTTGTGTATGCACCTGCTATTTTAATTAAAGAATTAATACCATCTACAAAAGTTAAATCAATTCATGAAATTTGGAAAGTTACACGGCATAGGTACAAAGCTAAAAATTATGTTGTTTTATTTAAGGATAACTCTCATTTATGTACATGTCTTGGCCTAATTCAGTGCGGTTTTGTTTGCAGACACTTTTTCCAAATTATAGCTGTGTCCAATTATGCCGCATTTCATATTATGCTTATATCGAGAATATGGTATACTGATGAAAAACAAATTGAGCCAGAATCACAAACAAATCAACAACCTTTTATTGTTGGATTAGGTAATAACGATATGACAACAATTAATGCTGAACAAACTTTTCCAAATTTGTTCTTTCAATTGCCAGATATTTCTTTTAGTAATGTTCATGCTAAAGTTAACTACCGCCAAGCTTATGTTATGATTAATGGATTGTCAAAAAAAGCTATTTAAATTGGGCTTGACACTGGTTCTAATGCACTACAAAAACTTGAAAAATGTATGAACAGTTTTATTAGCAAGTACACACCAAAAGGTAAAGAAAAAGTTGTCCAGAAAAGGAATAAAAGTCAGCAAGAAGATGAAGATGAAATATCAAATTCAAGTTCTAGTGACGAAGATTTTATTGCAATTGAAAATCTAATTGTGCATTCAAAAAGGAGTGCTCTAAAAAAAAAGCAGTTCAAAAGTTCTAGTGAATCAGGAAATAAAAGCAGGTCTAATATTAAACAACATCCAGAAGTGCAGAAAACTAGAAAACCAACTCAGTGTCAACAGTGCAAAAACATAGAACATAATAAGGCTAGTTGTGAAGCATGATATAAGCGACAGGATATTTCTTACTCACATTGAAAACATGTTCATAATAGGTATATTATCTAATGTCAGATCATAAGAATTTAATTGCTGAAAGTATGCATTACTACTATTGTAATTATATTGTCATGATTATTATTTGACGAGTTTTTAATGTAATAAGAACACACTAAGTTGCATATATCTAAGCAAATTCAATTTTTGCTTAGCCGCATACAACTCAATGTATTACCTGCTATTACCGTATATACAAATCATGTCTTTATTGTATGTAGTTTGAAATAAATAGTTCATAGCAGATAAAGTTGTTAAATACTTAATGTAGTAATCTATTATATTTAGCGAAAATTATACCAAAAACTAGATATTCAAATCAACCAAATTATTAATAGTGAGAATAAGCAGATTTGTTTCTCTAATAGAATATTATATTAAGTTATATAAAGTGCATGACTAGATAATATATTGAGTAAGATTGATTTTTTTAGTTTGGATTAGAGTAACGGTTAGTCAGATTAGAATTAGTTATAGTTATTGTATGAGTTGTAAAAAATAATTAAATTTGCTCGGGTTAACCGATACATGGCCGAAGGCCATGTAATCCGTGCAAATTTAGTTATTTTTTACAATCTATACAATAACTATTTTATTGCACGGTGTCTGATATACAATCCTGTGCCAATAAGTAAATGAAAAAAGCACAGGTTGTTACATAAGACCTGTGCAATAAGGTTAGGATATTAGTTTGGGTTAAGATAAGGGTTATTTCGTATTAGTGTAAGGGTAAGGCTTAGTTCAGGTTATAGTAAGGGTTTAGTGCTAGAGTAAGGATTAGTTTAGATTAGGGTAAGAGTTTAGAGCTAGAGCAAGAATTTAAAGGTTAGTTTTGGGTATTGTTGGAATTTTTAGATGCTCCATCGATTTGGTCACATGATATTTGTTATAAAAGTTCAATATTGATATCTAGTATAGTCGCGTAACAGTGATACAAAAATTAGCATAAAGTAATATGTATTGGTATATGGCTTTAGCACAGCAAATACATGCTTAGAGTATATAAAAAGTATATCTGATATACTCAAGCATGTGCAATAACTATATGTAATTGGCCGGAATTGTTATACAGCAAATATATAGTATATAGTATTTTTAAGCCAATCATATATTGGTAAGTTAATCATGTGATGTGGGTATATGTATCTTCGGGTACATGTATATAAATCCTAAATTTTATTATAGTTTTTAGCAATTTTAAAAAGGGTTGCTTATTTTATTTTTCTTGTATTTTGATTTCTAAATATGGAGTATTGCTTATTTTTAGGAGTTGTTTATATTCGGACCTATCCCTTAAATTGTTTTGCAGCCAAATTTGCCTGCAAACTTTTTTAAATTTTAAATTTTTCTAATAAAATTTTAA